TTGGAGGCAGTTCAGAACACTGAACTGTGTAGTGAAATGGCCTAAAACCACAGGGGGGTCAGGCTGAGGGCCCTGTTCACCTGGTGGTGTGTCTCATTTGCAGGTGCTTTGAGGAAGAGGAGAAAGAATAAAAGAGGAACACAGCAACTCCTGGCCATACCCTCCTAGCTTTTCTGACAAAAGCAGATTAGGGATACTCACTGCCAGTGGTTGTATCTGCATCATAGCATTCAGTAACACTTGAAAGATTTTCCTTATATGAATTGGTCTAAATATTCTGAGGCTAATCAAACTTTGGGCCTCTGTAGCACCTGTAGCTGTGAGTTCCACAGTTTTTAATTACATACCATAAAAAAACCCAAATCCCTCCTTAAACCTGTTGCCTAATACGATTCTTTACTGCTTGTCTTGAAGAAAAAGCAAGGACTGACTAAGCCCAGAAGACAGACTCTCAGCTCTCACTGTAGTAGGCAGGCACAATGGCAGTGTCTCATTTCCCCTCTAGTGAATATTGGTCTATCATCCGCATCAACAGAGATGGCACGTTCCAGTTGTTACGATTGAGCCTTTACAATTACTAAATTTTCCCCAATTACTCTATGTTGAATTTGGGCTGATGACAGAAGAGCTGAAATGCTGATAGTTGGACAGCAAAGTGCTTTTTTGCTTGGATAGCCAGTCCATGGGGTAAAAGTGTGGCAGGGATTGTGCTGAGGGTTAAGCAGGGCTGTTTCAGGAACTGAGAGGTGATGTCACTAGTGCTTCTGTAGGATTTATAAAGCGATTCTATCTTTAGTGTTACCTGCTTGCCCCCTTGCAACTGTGCTGCAGAAGGTGCTTCTTCAGAATAATGACAAGTGAATATGCAAGTGCCTACCCAGTTTCAATACATATTTTAAGAACAAGAGTCACTGGATAGACTGTTCAGGGAGGAGGAGGAGCAGGGGAATGAATGTGGAGAGCAGAGAGCTTGAGAGAATGCCAGTGTAGCAGACAGATCTTGAGGAGAGATGAGGTTCTGTAAGGAGAGATTACAGCTTTGCTGGGCTGTGCAATGCTGACAGCAGCAATTCCTACCTCTCATCAATCATTCTTCTGTATGTACCTGAGAAGATAACATGGGAGAGCTGAGCCTCTCTGCAGGATGCCCATCACTGCTTGCATCCTGCTGGGATGGGAGAGTGAAGCCCTGAGTCTCTCTCTGCTTTGTTCCAAGGAGCATGGCTGCAGCAAGCAGCATAATCACGGCTCCCACGAACCTCAAGGTTACAAGGCTGCTGGGGAGGATGACTCTGTGGGGGTGGGGGTGTGTGTGGTGACTTGACATAAATATTAATCCATCTGAGCTTTAGGATTAGAGAAAGAAATTAACAGAGGAACCTGCAAAAAACATGAAAATAACTTGCATATTAGCCTAGTTTATTCATCTCCTGGGCAGGAATCACTCCTCCTCTCTTGTGAGCCACAGTTACTGCAGGTTGTGGGGTAATTTCACAGTCAGTGATGAACTTGCATGTTAATGCTTGAGCTGATCCACAAATAGCTGAGAAGCACCTTGCGCCTCTGCTCTTGCTTATGGACCATCTCTACCAGCACCCTGCACCAGCTCTGGCACTCACCGGCTCTACAGCAAGCTAATTCAACCCACTAATCTGGCAAAAAACTAACCCAGAAGAAAGAAATCAGCTCAGCAAAGGTCTGAGAAGTACAAAAGGTGGTGCACAAGAGTGAAATGATGCAGCTGAGAACAGTGGCTGGGAGCACTGGGTGAGAATGGTATGTGAGACTTCCCTTCTTTGGCCAAAGCTGTCAGATCAATTCAGTTATAATATGTAACTACACAACATGGCTTTGGGAATTTCTTCCATCATAATCCTTCAAGATGGACATGTAGTAATATTCTCTCACATGTAGGAAACAGACACCAATCTTTGGGTGAAAAGATATTTTGGAGCCGGACAGCAGACTGAAGAGAAGCTTCAGAGTCAGCTCCTGATCCCGCCACTGTCTCTCTTCATGACCACGGGCAAGTAATTTAGGGCATAACACACTCTGCAATGCAAGATGGGACAGACAGGTCCCTTCTAACTTTGTCACTGGGACTGGAAAAAAAACAGCCACTTCAGAGTGCCAGATCTAAAGAACTATTCCGATTCAGAGGTTTCTGAGGGAGGCACAGAGCCATTTACATGATGGCTGTGCCACTTCCAGTGCCTGAGCTGGTGTGAGTGCTCTGTGCCACATGGGACTCTCCACTTGTGCTCGGCACTGTACTGTCTTGGAGGGGGCAACTTCCCTCTCCAAATTCTCCATACTTCTTCCCACCCCATCAGCCCTATACAGCTTCCCTGCCTTGCAGCAACCAACACAGAATGAAGTCAGATGCTATGGGAGGAGATTTAGACGGGCCAGGGAGTGAATGTCCAAATGTTCAATGAATCCAACCCAGAGTGAGACAAGCCTGCTACTGAAGCCAGCAGAAAGCACATCTTGGCTTTCATTCCTCTTCTCAAAAGCCCTGTTTGTACAAGGGAAGAACAAGTTGGTTTGGCAGAGATCTAGACAATCTGAAACTTCACCACAAACTCACTCCTGAACCTTGTGCTGAAGGTTACACGAAGCAAAGCCTGTCGGTACAGTTACCAGCAATAACCTTCTGTCCTGTTACTGTTATTTCTGCTATTCCTCTCCCTCCCCACTGTCTCCCCCTCCTTTGGCTACTCCCAGAAGAGCTGCTAAAGCCTCTGTAGCCTGAGCCTCTGCTGCCATGAGAGGCAGAGCCCTGTTTGCAGCCCCAAGGTGTATTCAGCAGAGGTCTCTAAACTGCTGCCTGCTTCTACCAATCGACCTCCAAACTTGTTGAGATTCTCTGCTTATAATATGCTTCAACAGGCACATTGTCCCATGAGGACTGAACTAAATTGAGTTGCAGGCTGCAAATCATGAAGCAGCCTTATTTTAATCATGGCTATTCAAGTGCTAAGGAATGCAGAAAGTAAATACATATTTGGTTTTAGGCCATCATTTGTTGCATTTGCAAGAGGAAAATGAACGTACTCAATCCCCGAGGGTTTAATCCTAGGAGAATAATCTTGGGAAATGAACCTGTTGTAACCACTACACATGAAATACACCCTTTGTTAAATCCTCTACCCACGGCTTTGTCACTAAGCTTTTCTCCTGGATCTGTTAACCCTCTCATTCACATCTCCACATTGTAATAAGGCTTTAATGTCTCATGCTTCTTCTGCCACCCCCACCACAGTCCCTGCTGGCTTACTGGTGACTGATTTCCCTGAGGACTGACTGGAATCCAACTTTCAGGGTCAAGTTCTGCCCTTGTCTTCAGACCTGGCTTGGGAAAAAAATTGTAATGCGCAGTCCTGCAGGTGTAAACTTGGCTGTGGCTAGGATGACCAGGTGGTTGGATTTTCACATCAGTCCTTGACTTCTGTGCTACTTCAAACACATTTAAATAAATGCATACACAGATTCGATCAGCTTGCATTCCTAGTGCTGCAGTGTCCTTCTCTTTGGCATGCCTTACTCTCAATTGCAATTAGTCCACCTGATCTGTAACACAGTGCTAAAACTCTATGCAAAGCCCGATGTTCTAGTTGCATCCCAGTCCTCCACACTTCTCATGGGCCTTTTACTTCTTTTGGCTCTAGCTGTGGTTTGAGATCTTCCCTATCCTCAAACCATGATTCAGCCTCTGGTTTTATTTGCTTTCACTCTCTCCTCCACTTTCTTTCTGCGGCCCAGCATTGTAATCCCTGTGTCTCAAACCTGTTCCCAGGCCATCTAACAAATCCTTTCTCCCACCTCCTCTCTGAACTTAAAATTTACCTAGGCTGTGCATGCTAGCCATAATTTACCCACTTGAATAACAGCTACCCTTTCACCTAACCTAACTGCACCTGGCAGGGTCAGAATAGGGCTAGCAACTAATTCTTCCTTTTCTTAATCTTTAGATCAACTGCATTCGTAAGACCCTAAGACCCTGACCATAACACCTCCTTGCCTCTGGCAGACTCAGCCCTACTAATTGAGGGCAATTGTTTTTGTTGATGCCTGAAAGTAATCTACTGTCTTTGTGGTGATGTCCCTTCCTCCCCTCCGAGCCGCCCAGGCCCTTGCTCTTAGTTGTACACAGATACTCTTTAAGCAGCTCTCCTGTTTTGTGGAGGTGCAGGCCTACTGGCTCAACCAGCAGTTAAAGGCAGAAGTTTTGCCTGTGTCCTAGAGGGGAAAGTATCATTGCACCAGCAGCCCCTTTGCTTTACAGACAACAATATACTGAAGGCATGGAAAGAGGGAAGGAACCGATACAATTCCATGAGTTATCCCTCATCAGCTGAATCAGGATGACTGTCCCTGTTTGCCCCTTACCATCTTACAAATTCACAGCATCATCTTAAACCCACCACCAGCAGTTACTGCCGCTGCAGTGGTAACCTGATCAGTTGTGACATTTCTGCTCGTGCCCTACATTATGCAATTCAACAACTGTGCAACTAATTCAATAGCTACCTGAGGAACCTGTTTGGAGCTCCTGAGCTTTGATCCGTGCTTTGGGGTTTGTTATGTAGTTTCACTCAGGAGCACTGAAGTGAATAATCTGGATACTTTTAAAGAAAGTACCTGCTAAACAAAAGCTACACATTCTGGAACATTCACTTGGGATTTGAAACAAGATCTCGGAAAGGAAAAAGTGACTTACAGTTTTAGATACCAGTGACATTGATAATGTTGATCTAAAAAGACAGCCAGAGACAACAAGAATCACCCACTTGCCCTACTACTATTCATCTGATCTTGCATCTATTTCCTCCTGAGGGTCTGAGTGAACGGATGGGTGTGAATTACCAACAAACGGCCGCGGTGACAAAGACACTGCACCTTTGGCCTCTCACATGGTCACTGACAGCCCTGGCTTCCTCCAGACAGTGCGTAAACCACCCCTGGGTCACATAAGGGTTGCAAAGCCCAGTCCTTACCTTCTCCTGGTACTGACGCCGCGAGGAGTCCAGAGACTGGATTAGGGCTGTGGCATGGCCGATGAACATGGCATAGCAGGTGGCACCGACAATCATGCTCAGCATAGTGAGCCACACATCTGACATGCCAACGGGCGCCTGCTGCCCGTACCCAATGCAGAGCATGTGGCTCATTGCCTTGAACAGCGCATAGGAATACTGCTTCCCCCAGGAGTCATTCTAAAGAGACAGATAGACAGACAAAGCTTTAGCAGTGGGACAAGACATTCTCTTGAGATGAACACATTTCTGAAAAGGATACCTAACGTCAGACCCAAAAGTCCATTTTTAAAGCACCTCTATATGTTAAACGAGCAATTCATTGATGGCTTGGCACTGGTGGGCACATTCAATTTATTTTTTTTTTAAAGCCCAAATTTAGTCATCTGACATTAACTGACTTTGGCCAGGGTTTTTACAGATTCCATGTACTCCTTCCAGCAAAACTTTCCAGAAAGGAAGCCAGACAGCCAGACATACTGGTAACCTGGGATAAACTGTGATGATGCATTGCGCTATTTTCAAAATGACCCACATGTGGGAGAAGGAACTGAAGCAAATAATTAATCCACTGGGAAAAGGACTTTAACAGTGAACTGCTAAAAGAGACCCTGAGCAAGGTTGCTAGCAGCAAGATCTTAAGAGTGGGAAAAATCACTCCCCACCAATTTAGGAAATGGTCAGAATCTCTGGTCATTAACTGAAGAGATGGGAAGGGCAGAAAATTAAGATGATAATGTCCAGACAGTGAGTTCTTCTCAGTGTAGAACAGGGCTTTTTTCAGGGAGCTAAGAAACTACAAATGGTCTCATTTGAGAGATGCAATATACCACCATGAGAAGCCAGCTGAAGTCAACAGCTTCTTTCGAACACCCTGTGCTCTCCCACTGCAACTAACACAAGAAGCACCTCGGCAATTACATCATGGGATAGGGAGAAAAAACAGGATAAGTTTCATGATTATTCTGATGAGCGTGAGTTCATGGAACAGCTCAAGGTACATTCACTGTCCTGTGGGTATTATTTGCTAGCAAGTCCTTGCCACAAAACCTTGTAAAGTAAATGCACTGTCATCACACATTGCTATTACAAGGTATGTGAAAAAATACCTCTGCTACAGTGACATTCATTGCAGCACATAATCTGTACATTCATCAGTCTTCTTTCTGTTCCTAGGAAGGTGTTAACATTATGGATATAGCTTTGCTGATACATATACCACGGCAACTTAGAAGGTCATTGTACAGATGGCCTGGTCTGCGGCTTGTCAAACAGACAAGCAATGCTTTTGTGAACTCCATTCAGAGAGATGCAGCAGCCTCAGCACCAGTGACCAGTAATGCTGGGAGCCCTGGAGTTTACTGGACACCTCCTTGGAGGTATCTAATCACAAGCAGGTGGACGGCTGACGACCTCTCTGCAAACAGCTGAGTGACACTAATGTTGATGGAAATTTTTCAGTAAGCTTGCAAGTAGTAAACAGAAGCAAAGCGTATTGTTGCTGTTTGTGAGCTGTGGCAAAGAGCTGGAACCTTTGGAGAATGTTAATGCTTGGTTAGGAGATAAGCACATCGACAAAGACAGGCGATAGTGTTACCCTGGCCATATTCAGTTACATTACGCAAGACAGGCCTGATTCACACTGCAACAAGAAGGGCAAAGCAACAGAAGTGACAGCAAAGCGGACGCAGAAGAAGCAGCACATTCACAGCCCCAGAAGAGGCTGCTCCCTGCTGACGCCAGCCTGTCTGGGCTCACCTCCCTAACAAAGCAGGAACCTCTTCACCTCCCGCACTGGAAAAAACTACCCTGGAGTCAGCAGAGAGAGACAAGGGACAATGTGGCCATTGGTGTCTCTATTCCTGGCCATGCAGCTGGCCTGTCAGTGTGTGAGGAGCCACAGCCCAAAGGGGAGCCAGCGACAGAGGAAGGCAAAGAGCATTCGCACTCTGCTGCCTGTGCAGGGCAGCAGGAAGGGTCTGAGCACTGGGGCTGCCTGAGGTGTCAGCACCAAATCTGCTCGCTCCTTTGCTTCACCCATGTCGATGCTGTGGCTCCCAGGGTCCTGACCAAAGAAGTAGGGGGGGGCCATTTTTCCACCAGCCAGGTTTTGTGTCATTTTGCAGACCCACTTCTGATCTGTGAAGGCATCAAGCATCTCACACACCTTACACAGGCCTCCATGTATTTTCACTGTTAACACTTCCAGGAGCCCCAGTCCCTTTCCCTCAGCCCTGTAGTACCAGCAGTCATAAAGCCATGGCCCTGCACTTACAGAATGCCAAATGCTGTAAACTCTGTGGCTTTAACCCATCTGTTGTCCGTGCTTCAGGAGGGAAGCCGTCATCCTGAGACAACAGGCAGGAGCAGTCACACTTGACCAACCTTTGCTTAAAATGGTGCATCACTGTAAAGGTGGGCAGCATATTCACAGCTTTGCTGGGGCAGAGGTAGTAGTGTGGGTGTCCTGTCCCATCCCTTCCTGGCTAAATGAATTCCTTTCCCCTGCAGGCATTTCTCACTGGACACTGCAGACATGCTGCTGCCTTCTGAGTTCAGTGTGGCAGTAGTTTAACAGGGCAGCACATCTTCACAACAAAATTGAGAGCAGGGAGAGAAGAAATGCTGAGCTGAAATTCCAAAGGGAATCTGGGAAGACAGACTATGAATAGCTGAGCTGGAATCTGATATATCAGGAAACTGGCTGCCAGGGTCTTTAATGGCCATGAATGATCAGAGCCTAAGAGGAACATCTGGGTATCTGGCAGGTTCAAGTTTTAAAAGCCATTCTTCCAGCAACTTGCTGCTCAGGAGTGCTGTTTACGAGGAAGCTTGCCAGTGTTTTGTAGGAATTAGTCAACCAAAACTACAACATCCAACACCACTGAGCCCCTACAGCCTGCAGAAACACTACTGGCTCCCTGCAAACTCCAAACTTAAAAGTCACAACCCCAATTCCCATCAGCAGCATGGCTCCCTGTGAGGACAGCCTGCTTTGTGCCAGACAGGTCGCTGAGCAATGACAGACTGAGGGGCTAGAGCTGGAGGAAAACACAGAGTGTTTAAAAAACAATCCTGAGCAATGTGGTCTGCTGGGAGAAGAGATCAAGGACTGATGGAAGAGAGGAACTTCAATGAAGGGGAAACCTGTTGAAGCGATTACCTTTAGGACACAACCAGAGCACCTACAGCTCTGGATCCTCATGGCACAATTTATGTGATGACTCTTTGCTTACAGGTCTCAGTATTTCTCTAATTTTAGGCCTGCTCTACACTCTTTTGTTTTCCACAGAATAAGCAGGCAGGTCAAGAATGATGTACTTTAAATCAGACCAGTAGGAGTGGTTCCAAATGTACTGTGGGCACAAGTTTACTAGCACCACAGTGCTATACTGACACAGCTTGTTTCCATAACATTCGTACCCCTATTCTCAATATAGCTCTATGCCAGTCCCCACGGTGGGAGGGTTGTACTCCTTCAAATATACTGGAGTGGGTAAAATGGCCCATTAGGGTAGGTAAATGGGGCCTTAAACTGCAGAAAGAAAATGACTCCTCATTAACCACATCTCAAAGCAAGCTGAAATGGAGCTACAGATCTGTGCTTGAACATAGTCAAGAGGGATGTTATCTCAGACACATGCCAGGCACTATGAGCATTTGCAAAAGGGAATTAAAATTACTTTGAAGCGGTTTCTCAGACTAGCTCGTTTTTAACATCCACACTGGCAGTATTATAAGAGTTTCTCTGGGATTAGTGTCTGGACTGCAATGCCTCTGCTCAGATCTACCCTTGAATACTTGGACACGTTCCTGGAGCTCTTCAAAGGCAGCGTTGGGTTCTGCAATAGCTTACAGAAGCACCTAAAGCGACAGTATGGTGTCTTATAGGATGTTCTGGGTCTGACGTACATGTGAGGATACCTGGCTGAACCCTCACTGGAGAAAACCAGAGAGAGAAGACACAGAGAAGTCCTGGCAAATTCTTGTGGCAGGGGCATAGTCCGTGGGCACAGTGTTATGCCTGACTTACCTCGCTAACATTTCACAGTATTAAGGAGCTGTTTGTAGTGAAAGGGCATATTTCAAGCTTGTGAACTCCCACATTTGTCTCAGCAGTGATCTTATCTGGCCACAGAGCTGTTACTCAGGGATTGCTCCTGCACACCACTTAGGAAAAGCTGCAAAATAAGGCCTCTGAACATCACTGCCCTCCCCTGGACAACACTGTAACTGCTGGGCCGCGACAAGAAACCTTCAGATCCAGTTTAAAGGAAGGGAATAGTGGGATGAGAAAGGGAGATGACAGGTCAGACTTCACATCGGACAGAACCTGTCTGTTCTTGGCTTATTTCCAAGGAGACCTTCACATAACAGAAGAGATTTTCTCAGAACTCTGATTGCACCAGTCTTGACTGTCACAGTCAGCCTTGCCCAGGACCCCCACCCATGCAGCCCTGGTACCTGGAGCTCCATTTCAGTGCAGACCTGGGCACCCAGCACTGCGCCCTGAACATACACTTTAGCCTGGTGTCCAGCCACGCCTCTGACCCCACCTGCTGCTGCTCCCAACCAGGCTCCCTGGGTGGACCTTGGACATGACTGTCGCCCTGCCTTCACTGGAACAGTCAGTGGACCCTGTTCTGTTATCATCACTTCTGCTCTGCCCACCCTGTTTCAGACTGGTAGGGCTGTGCCCTGGTTAGCAGGGGTCACCCCTGGCTCCTGGCTCATATATCACCATGGAGCAGCCCTACTCTTGCTGCTCCCTGACATTTTATAAAACATGATTATCTACACAGCATCATACGCCTGCTGAGGGTGGGAGGGAGCTGCTGCACCAGAGGCTTGGGGGAGTTAGGAATCACACAGGAGATCTATGCAGGATTGCTCTGTCTTCCACAACAAATGCTGCATCCATTTCACCTCCTCCTTTCTATCAGCAACACTACAAGAACGTGTTGGGGGGTGGGGAAGGGGAGGGGGTTTAAGCTCAAAAGGAAAGCTACTCTCCTTTTGGAAGAAGGGAAGGCAATTGGTATTTCCCATGCAAGGTCGCTGCATTTGACATGGGGATATTTGCCTTCCCTGCAGGGTTTATCAGTTCAGCACAACACCCAAGGGAGTGAGCCTTGTGTTTCCAGCAGCTTTCCGTTCTCAGCAGAGCTCAAATTTCTCTGATGAGGAGCTGCCAGGTAAGAGTCTTGGGGAGATGCTGCTGCCTGCACACATGCCACTCTGCAGCTGACTCACTAGCATTTCTCTTTTTAATAAAACACCCTGTAGGGAACCTAATGCTGAAGCCCCTGAGATTAGGACTGAGCAATTAATACTGAAAACATCCTTCCCTGCCATTTCAGAGCCAGCTCAGAAAGAAGTCATACAGAGACATTCCTTCTACAATTGATAAAGATGAAACATGGTGCACGTAGAAAACACTAAGATGAACTGGACCCAGGGATTTATCAAGCCCTTAATATGATTTTGGCAACACCAGACCCTTCACAGATCCCCTGGAAGAGGATCAAACCTTTAGGAAGCAGATGGGACATGATGAATCTTCTCTCCCTGTTGAGTTGGAATCAGAGCTGGTTTTATGGACTGCCAAGTGGCTACGTGGGAAACTCCAGAGCAGTGGAAGAGCAGCACCAGCATACTCAAGGAGAAATCCTCCAAAGCACTGGCACCTCACTTTCAGCTCCCCTTGGCTGTAGAAGCTTCAGAAGATTTCTTTTTTGACTACAGTGGTTCCATCCCAGCTTTCTCACTCCTGTGTTCAATCAGGGTGGTCGTACATCAAGTATATTTTTCTCCACAAAGCTGTGACCAGTACAGAATGTCCTCAAATCCAACTTACCAACTCTGTCACAGACAGATGCCATCCTGGCCTTCCACATCTGAACCATCATCCATCACAGCTCTCAGACAGAGCCATTCTGGAAACTGCCATCATGATCTTGGCACCAAAGTCTGAGAACAGCCCAGACCACCAGTTTCTTGTTTCCTGACTTGGTGGCCTCTCCTGTTACTCCACTGTAGACTATACATAAATTGTTGCACTAATCATGAGATCCACATCCATCACTGGTCCCAGTGACACATCTGGAAATGTCAGGAGATCAGAGGACAGAATCTTATTGTGAGAAGAAACTGTCTGGTTCCAGAAGAACTAGTTATTCTCTTTGTTAAATGTTCTAAAATGAAGCTATTTTGGGGCTGGCATATTCCTGTACAGCTTTTAGAGTGGAATTCACCTGAACTGTAGGTGGGGCATATAACCATCTCTCCAGTTCTTCATCCCAGTTTCCTGAGGCTCCATTTCTGAGACAGTCACTGAGATAATTTTTTTTTAACTTTTATTAAGTGGAAAAAGTGAAGGTGATTTAACTGCAGAAGGGAAGGAGAAAAAATCACACAAGGAAAGTTTAATTCCCAGCTTCAGAGACTCTCAAGGCTGGGAAGAGAAATACTGCAGCACGAGTCCTTGTCTGGTCAAGCTCTGCTCTGGATAGAAACTTTCTACCCCACCCCTCCTGGAGACTCCGCTGAGCCCTTCTGCCTGTGGGATGCATCCTTAACTCCTCTTCTCAGTCCTGCTCCTAAAAAAGGTGCCTAGGCTAAATCTTTACTTCTTCTGTCCTGTCTCCTGCCACCTTTCAAGATGCTATATCTTCACTGCACAGTTACCTTGATGGTCATTTATAGGCTCTAATCATAGTCTGTCCCAGGTAACTTTTTTTCTAGACTATATAAATTCAGCTTTGTTTCTCTATTTATGTTTGCAGTTCTTCATTCCACTGGGTTACACAAGTGGTTTTCTGAGTGAAAAGTGTCCAAGACACAATTTGCATTAGCCCGTGCCATGCATTTGTGCAACGTGCTCAGTACAACCCCAGGTCTCTTGGACTGTTTGGATAGATACCCACCATTACAGTGTTTACTTAACCTCAGAAGCATCTGGGGAGATAGAACTCTCTGAGCTTCCCATCTGACTTGCCTGGGATCACACAGAACAGGGTGAGGAAATGAATCCAGGTGTCCCACTTGCAGTCAGTGCTCTAGCCATTGGATTATTCTTCTTCTCGCCATGTGTGTCTGCCACTGCTAGTAACTGCCTTCTGTGAAGGTTTTCCATGCACCAGTTAGCAGTAGATTTGGTTGTTTCGACTCTTAAGGTCACTTTTCAGCTCGTGTTGCAGCTCTCATCACACTTACAATTCTACAACTCTAGATTTTACCTCTTCCCCCAGGGTTGGATGGGAAAAGCAAATAGAACTTGCCATCAGACAGCAGCCTCCACCCAAATGTTAGGATAAAGGAAACATGGTTCAAATCTGCTGCTCTGAAGCTGTCCTGCAAGGGCACCATGACCAAGTCGCTTCATCAGAGGGGGATGATTTCTGTCTGCACCTCTGAGCTCTCCAGGATGAGGAGCTGTATGCCCTGTTGAACCTGAATAGCACAAGCACAACGGGGCTCTGATCTTTCATTGTTCTTGCCATATAAATAATGAAAACGCAGCACAGTGGAAGATAAGGCAGCTGCTGCATGGGTTGTTCTTCTTCTGTAGATAAATATAGGGTTCTAGTCTCCAGAACTGTCAGTCTGGCACCCTTCAACAGCAGGAAGTGAATGATTATTGCAGAGGGAAGAAATGAATAAATAAACACCAAACAGACGACTTTTTCATGGATGTTCACTCTTCTCAGGCATGGGCAGCATGTGCCCGCAGCTCTGCACGTGGGAGGCATGGGAAGTTGGCAGTTCTTTTATACATTTTACATTTGTTCTGTTCTGCCCGAGCGCCTGATTATTTTTTTTTTTTCAAGAAGAAATTGGCTGGGGGAATCTGGAGGTTAAGAGCTGTAATAAGAGGCAATTTTTTAAGCTTTGTCAGTTTTTGCTGCTTAATCAACTGGACATTGTCCCTTTGAATAAAAGATCCTGAATTCTCTGTGAAACGGTTGAAAGGTACCACGAACTACCCATGCGTTTACCATATGGCATAAATCTCCCTCACAGCAAACAGTAGAGTAAGCAGCACAGCTTGGGCCATTATTGGGAAGTCTGGCTACTGATCCCACGACAAACTGTGCCTTGGCAGAGTCTGCTTCAGCCCCCTCTAATGGGATATTGTGCAGCGCCCCGGGGAGAAGGGTGGGTGATCACACTGACACTTCAGGTGGATATGGAGCAGAAGGTTTAACAGTTTCCCTGGGACCAGTAATGGGAATTATGGCTCAGACCCAGCTATGGCTCTAGGACCTCTCTGCCTCCTGCCTTTGGCTCAGGATGCCCAGACCTCAGCGGAAAACCGTTTCCATTCCCGCTCTTTGCTGTCTCCTGCCAGGAGGGGGAGCCTGGCCCCTGCCTTCTGCTGCAGGCAGCCCGCAGCAGGCTCTGCTGGGGCTGGTTTCTGCTCTGCAGCCCCACTTGTCTCCTTGCAGAGATTGTCTCCAAGAAGCCTCCACGCCCACAGCGCCGTGGCTTTACAAATGCCTGCTGGATAGTGGAGGAAGGCCCTAAAAGGAGCTGGGGGGGAACGGGAAGCTGGGGGATGCCACGTTAGTGCTGGGAGGGCAATCAGTGGTGATGCCGTGACCAGCCTGGGTTTAGGGCCGTGAGGGAGCAAGGAGGGCAGGCACTTACCACCATGCGGTTGAGGGACACCCAACAATCGTCGGGGAAGTCCTGCAGCATAGGCACAAGGAACTGGAGGCAGCCATCCCAGTGACACAGCAGCAGCATCATCCCAATCAGGTTCACAATCCGCACCACAGCACTGGCCAGATCGTAGGTCATGTGGAAGATCTGCAGGGGCCAACAGGGAGCAGATTAGATGAGAGCTCCCCAAACCAACCCAACATAATTAGATGCACTATCAGGGTCAAGAACCTTTCTAAAGTAACATAAAAGGCTGCATCAGCTCAGCTCAGGTCAGCCACAGGATGCAAGCAAAACCAGCTGAAAAACAGATTAAAAACCGAAATACAAAATCATAATCGTTCACCCCTCTTGCCCTTTGATTTTGCCTTCTATTTTACATTAAAAGCTCCATAACTCAATTTATAGAATAAGTTGGTTGCAAATATTTCTGGAACATCAGTCACTCATCAGAAATAAACTCTATCATTACATCTTTGTAACTGCAATGCCCTTCTTTGATTTCTTTCTTGCTGAATATATGCTACATACTGACCCATGCTGGAAGCTGTCTTTGTCCTGGATGTCAGATGCAGCCTCTGCAAGTAGCAAATACAAGAAAGAATGGCCTCAAACTCAGCAGAGATTTCTAGAAGAGGATGTGATTCAAATATTCTTGCATTTCTTGTATTCAATTCCAGTCTTACGTGAAGGAGGGTAAGGAAAAGGGAAACATGTATAGCAGTTCATAGCAAGGAAGCTCAGAAACCTGAAAGCAAACAGCAGCAGCCACACCTCTGCAGTTAGTTCCTGAACGCAAATGGAGTCAGTCCGTGGTCGTGTTGTCCGTAGTACCAGTCATACGCAGGACACACTGAGAAATATTATTGAAGCTGCATATGCAGTCAGGAATTAAATGATGGACACTATTTTTTTCTATGAGTGGGTGGTGTGTTGTGGAGACATGGGGGCGCTTAGCTCTTTTATGCCCAGCTTTGTGATGACAGTTAGACATACAGGGCATGCCAGCAAAGGCTACCCTGAGCTACATATCTACCCAGGTTTGGTTTTCCCTACATTACAACATGCCACAGTGAGGAGAGATGGGCTCTGAAGAGCACTGGCTGGCCCTGTGTGGCTCAGCACTGAGCCCACCTTCTGGCCTCGTTTGCCATTAACACAGATCATGAAGAGAGGACACCTTCAAACTGTCACTGGGCAGTGGTTTGGACCCAGTAAGGACCGTTAGTCCTCACAGTGTGCTGGCTTCCACCTCAAAAAGCCTACTGCATCACCCTGAAAACTGAGAAACTGAACACATCTGGCATCCTCTCCCCCGTGCGGCTGTGTCACCACGGTGATCTGTGACAGAGCTGGGATGGGTGGAGGCCTGACAGCCATACCCCAGCTCTGCCAACGTGTCCTGCCCTAGAGTTTCATCTGGAGAAACGTTAATCACGGCTCCCCACACACAGTCTTGCTGTTTCTGATGGAGGAGGAGTGGAATATTTGGACAGCCGTGTGTGAATGAAGCGGGGGGGACTCCCTGCTGCCAGAGCTGAGCCTTCTCAGGAGGTCTCCCCACGGTTTGAAGGCACATACAGCCTGGCTGTTTTGCAGCCCAGACTGCAACCTGGTGACACAATGTCCTAGTTGGATTTGATGGAAGGGAACACAGAACAGAGGAATATGAGGAGCAAAGAAGACTACCGTGACTCAGATGAGGCAGCATGTCCCAGCTCTAGTCCTGCATTTCCACTCTGACCTGTAGGATGGTACCACCCTTCCAGGGTGCATTTCAATCAGCCCCGTCCTAATCCAGCTACATCACCTTGAAGTTTCCCACAGAGCTTCTTTACCCCACCCTGCAGCCCCTCCTGCTCTCTCAGTCCTGGACTCCCCAGCAGCCCTGCCATACCCCCTCCACTCTGCTGTGTCACCATCCGAGTCCCCCCCCGCAGCTCCACTCTCGTACCCCAGCCCTGCGTGGTCACACCTTGTTTTCTGAGCTGCCACCTGTGACTCCCAGTGCTGCTGTAAAACTGACCTCCAGGTGAGCAACGCAGCGCACACAGTGACACATATCCAAGCTCACCATTTCCTTAGGGATGCAGCAGGATTAACTGTCAGTTCTTCAGATGTAAAATAAACCTGTAAACACAACTTTCTTACAGGTCACCAGGCAGCGGGAGAAAAGGCACAGAGACTCTGATACAGGCTTATATAAGATAGCACAGTAATTTTTGGTTTGCTGTGTTATTAATAAAAATTGATAGTGCAGTGACTGAAACCACAGGGAGAGGCACACCTGGAGCTTCCTCAGTGCTGAACACCCCCAGAGCACTGCCAGGGAGCCTCGGTGTCAGAAGACGGGCATGCAGCAGGTCACTCAGCCACCTGGGCATCACCTCTGCAGGGGCAGGCAGTTACCGAGGGAGATGCCGTGTCTGGAGCAGGGGATAGGGGATAGGCCATAGGCATGCTCTGTGACTGTACAGCTAAGTCCATATAACTCCTTGCTGCTCTGACAGACATTCAATTTGAATGTCTGTTTGCACACCAGATATTAACACTTCCCCACTTAATCAGGATGTCACGAGGTCATAGGCATTGAGAGATGCCGACATGCTGAATCCAGACTGGGAGGGAGCCACAGAAGAATGCTAGAAACCAGAAGGATGAATGATTTGGATAACTGCTTTGAAATTCCATTATTTCCGCTGCATCCACGATGCAGCTGGAGTCCACAGTGTCACTTAGTGTGAGAAAGGCCATTCTAGTGATATTTCTGGGCTGAAAAGAAGAAAATATCCAAAATCCACCATGAAAGGCTGTTCTAGGAAATCCAACTCTCAATGCTGACTCAATAGGTCAGTATGAAAGCTGAGTACATAATTCATAAAGAATAATTCCTACTGGTTTATCTTTTTTTTTTTTTTTTTCTCATTGAAGAAATGATCATTCTCATTTAGATAACCCAAAGCGAATCCAGTCTATTTGAGTGACAGCCACAGGCTATGCTTTTAATGAAGCCAGAACAGCAGTTTGCAGAAGGATCTCTGAATGAATCTTTTGTATCACCGGGGTTTTACAGTGCTAATGAATTTTCCTCTCACCTACGTGTGTTTTTCAAAGAGCTCCAGCTCTCCTGTAACCCAGGGAACTCGAGCCAGGGACAGGAAGGAACCCTGTCAGAGTTAGGAAGTGCCTTTCTTCCTTTAATATATTAAAAGCAGAGAGTGAAGAGCCTGAGGGAATGTATGGTTTAAGGGAAAGGTAAATGGATATGGAGTTTCTGATGTGATGATTGGGATCTCTTCTAGTCAGGCTAGGGCAGAAAGCCTTTATTCTTTGGTGCACCTCTGAAAAACAGCAATAAATGGTGTTTGCTTCTGCTGTTAGGCCCCGCTGCCTCCTCTCATGCACTAATAACTCACACATTTGCTGACGGCCGAGAAACAGCAGCTCTGTGCAGAGTGTGTGTACGTCTTGGCTCACAGGTCCTCCTTCACCCTGGTCACGCTCATCGTGTAACCCACCCATAAGGGTGGGACCCAGTGTTGAAGCAAAAAGGGGAGGAGAGTCCTGTCTCTGTATTAACACCAGGGTGCCTGTGCCCTCGTAGTGCACGGCTGTTCTCAGCACAGAGCTCAGAGAGCCTGGGAGCTCAGTGGCCATTCTAAAGCCCAGCACTGACTAGAGGGAAGGATCACAACTGAGTTGACACAAACTTCCCACACAGGTAGAGACAATACCTGCTTTCTGCAAGGGTGGCTTCAGCTCACCTACTTTGGACCTTGAGATCCAGACTCTCATTAGAGTCACTGGATGGAAGCACACACCTCTGGTTTGTGGCGCTTGTTTACCTGAGCAGAGATGCACTGTGTCAGGAATTCCTCTTTCCCTCTGCTGCCCATAAAGTAAACCTAGATAATGAACTCCAACTGTAAATGTCTGAACTGCAGGTGAGACAAATCCCATTTGAAAATGTCAGTCTCAGGAGTTAGCAGCTCATGCCCACTCCTTTGAATATATTTGCATTCACATGCAAGAGAAAAGTAAGAAACACTCACTGTGCGGCACACAGGAATAACTGAAGGGGTGTGAACGAACACCTTTCACTGCGAAGATGCTCCTACTGTAAATAGGTGCCTGTGTTGCAGGGAATACTAACTCCAGTGGCATGCTAGAGAGCGCCTAAGTCAGTGCTGCAGTGCCCTAAAGCAGTCTATAGCTCGCCAGGGAGAGGTAGGGAAGAAACATTCTAGAATAGCTGGTCCATGAGCAGAGGAACATGAGTGGTAATTGGAACTTCTTTGGTTTTCATCATTAACACTCAGGGCTTTCTTGTCCTGCTGTAACACAACCCAGGCTGGGTTCCAGAGCATCACACCTCCTTTTGCCCCTGAAACTGCTTGTGCATTCTGGCTTTCTGCTGCCTGCGATTTGAAAAAGGGAGTGAGGAAAAGGACACGGCACAGAGTCACACTTAGAAGCATCTCTTTCCGAGAGTATTCTCTGATAGAGCTAACATCCCTGTTTCTGGATTGTCCAAAACAAGTTGTGGCTTCAGAATCCCTGTTACAAAGTCGGCTCTGTCCTAGCCAGAGAATACCTTGCAATGCTTTCTGAAAGGACTGCTTAGGAAAGTGGGAAGACCAAAACTTTCCTCAACAAAGCAATCTCTAGTTATATAAGAGCTCCATCTTGGAAATCCCACTTATACAGAACAAGCTATCAGGATCCTATCAGTATGAATCTGAAATCTTGTCAGCCCCAACTAACTGTACAGTACTCCTCCATTGGCTCTGCACTGCAGAAAAAATCAAGGGCACCCTGGAGAAGTGGGGGCCTGGCTCTGGCAGTGAAACAAGGGCTTTGCCTGAAATCAAAGTTGTATGTTTAATTAGACACGTTGTTTTATGTTGGCACACAGTTTGGTGTGGCTGTCCAAACCATCGGGTCACCAGAACTTCTGGGATCCTTGGGAGCAATGTTGCAATAGTGTGTCTGTCTGTCCAGGGCCGGGGAGGCTGGCCTGCTCTGAGGCTGCCTGCCCACAGCGAGGACACTGCAGGAGCGCTGTGCAACGTGGCAGCTCGGTCCAGCACAATCTGCACCAGCCCTGCCAGGCCCAGGCCAGCTCCAGCAAAGACTCTGTCTCTGTG